AGGGGCGGGGCAGAGCAATGCATGAAATTTGGTTTTTTTGACCAAGTATGCTATCATTGTGAGCAGAGAACTGAGTGATGATGTTCCAGAGTGAGAACTGGAACAGTGCTGTCAGGTTACACAAGAAGTCATGTGGAAGCTTTAGTAGCTGTGGACAACCTGTGCTTGCTTCCTTGATTTTCTTTTTGTGAAAATGAACATGATCTTATTTTGTCTTTAAGATCCCTAACCTGGTTTTAAATGGCTTTTAAGCATCTAAATGTGATCTTATTCCACCCCATGTGGCAGTCACAGAACTGCTAAATTGCGTAGATTTCTTATATGTTTCCATCTGCAGGATAGGCATGTAGGTGTCTCCCTTTGTCTAAATACCGTCGTGGTTCAACTCTATTTGCGTTTCCCCCAAATCACTAAATCTTCAGGTAGGTGAGAAAAAATGCACATGCATCATCTGTTTGGTGAGCTGGTAGTGGCAGTGAGAACAACCTTTTGCTCCATAGATTAATGGTTAGGGCCAAGAAGTAGAAAAACTTGGCTCCCAGCTCCACCCAGAGCCTCAGGAGGTTTTGAACTCTCGGCTCCTGCTTCCCAGGAGAGAACCTTAATTGCCAGGGCTGTGGACCAGACAGGACTGAAAGAACTTTTCCTTCCTCCTGTTGAAGCTGGGCTGTTGCACAATCAAAAGTCAAAGACTTATGGGACTAGAGAAAAAGCAAACAAGACAGAGTCTGACTCTTTTTCCTTTAGATGACCACTGCCAGGAAGTTTTTCATTGTTTATATATTGAATAATTATTGGGCATAGGACATCCCCACAGCCTACTGATTGAGAACCATCATTCTACTGAGATAGATATTAATTAACTCTCATTCAGCTGGTTCTGCACGGCATGATCTTTGGATAATGAATTTTTTCAGTGCTTCCACTGACCTAAATGATATGCTTAGTATCACTGTGTCTATCTAACATGAAATTAATGCAACTCAAACTCTGGCATGTATCACATCAGAGTTTATTGCTCCCAGGTAAAGCATCTTCATGTGCCCAGGACCGTAGCACATTGAGCCAACCTGGAGCAGCCCCAGCTGGCAGGGGGCCCAGGAGATAAACCTACCAGCCTGGCCTTGCTTCAACCTGTCTCAATGTGCTGCAGAGGGGCTGGCTGGGGCACAAGGGTGCTCCAGTGCAAGGCTGTGCACTAAAGAACACCTCCATAGAATTGTACTTTTGTTTACAAATACTAACCTATGGTGGAGTTAATTAGTTTCCTGTGGCCTAACAGGGCTGTGTGTATAGATGTTATGTCTTTTCTATAGAGCTAATTAGTCAGATCTGCAGTAAACATCTCATGTAGACACACCCACTGAGTCTAGGTGTATCGAGTGGTGTACCTAAAATCAACAGACAGCCTTGTGAATGTTGTCCTGAATCTCTCTCAGCCTCATTATTCTTATCTGTAAGTTTAAACTAATTACTCGTCTGAGAAGAAGATGGTGAGGAATCACGAACATTTGAAAAGCACTTTGAGCTGCAGGTGTGAAAGTTGTTATATAAATTTTACATGTAGCTAAGCACCACAGTGTGGGAGAAGTGGGACTAAAATTGAGCTGTCACTGGCTCTTTGCCATCCATTAATTTCATCACACTACTAATTACTTTATAGGATGGTTTCAGTTTCTCCATATAACCACCTCCTGAAAATCTTTTTCTGTAACCCTTTCCAATTTCAGTCATGACATTTTTCTCTATTCATCCATATGGTGCCTTAGCATTTTTATATAGTGTATTATATCTGCTTCTATATAGATATTTTGGTGAGAGAAATCTCTTTGTTAGCATATCTTACATATTGCATAGCATCAATAAGAACATATCAGAACATAAGAACTACCATTTACTGGGTGAGACCATAGGTCAACCCTACTTAAAATATTATGTCAACAACAACAATAATAATGTATCAGTTAATTTAGCAATTTCTTCAGTAATATGAAAATCCTGTATTTAACTTTATAAAACCACATTTTCTACATGGAGATCATTTGGTCTCCTGGTTTTTACTGACAATTTAAATCCCTTGGGCACCAGTGAAGTTGGTAGCACCTACAAACCAGTGTCAAAAACAGAATTAGTAGACAACCAAATTAGAATAAGACTGGATACAAAAATGGCTCAGACTGACTTGCATCTGGTGAGGCAGCTTGGAAAAAGTAGCCTAAGCTCCAAATTTTTAAATTATAATATTCAGGTTACAGATTCTGAGTTGGACAAGCAGTTCTGTCTTTTGCAGAAATATGAATATTGATTCCAGTTCACATTACTTCAATAAACAAAACACTTCAATAAAACAAAATTTTAACTTCCCATCTTTGCATCATTGAATGTCGTTACACTCTGAAATAATTTTTATGAGTCTGTTTTAAGGGCCTCTCCTGCCTCCTGCCATGCACAGGTAGCAGGCAAAATTGTGGGGTTGCTCAGTAGATCACATCACACCTTATCACTAGGGTGAGGGGAGCCTTGGATTACAATTCTGGGCTTCCTCTGCACCGGCTCTTGCAGCTGCAACCTCCACGGCTGACTAGGCTTAGCAGGGATCTGAGTGGGGCGGGTGTCTCACACTACCCCCAGTGTGAGCCTTGCAGCCAGCATGGGAGTTCACAGAGGGGCAGCCCAGAGAAAGCTGCCCCTGCTGTGAG